CGCCTGGTGCTGGAGCGGACGAGGGGACCCTGCCCGGTCCAGCTGAGTCGCCGCCCCTGCAGTTGCAGCAACCGCAGCAGTCGCCGCAGTCGCAGCCTTCGCAGCAGCCGCAGCAGCCGTTGCAGACGCGGCAGACGAGTGTCCTCCCGCCAGGGTGGCCCGGCGCTGGCCGTGGACGGGCGCGTGGTGGTGTGCCGCGTGGTGGCTCTGCCGGCGGGCGTTGTCAGTACCAGATCCAGACCGGTCCTCGCCGCGGCTTCGTTTGCGGTAAGATCGGTCACTCCACTCCCCGCTGTTTTCGTCGCCTGGACGACCTCTTTCGTCAGCGCTTCGGCACGTCGCCAGACCTCCCGGACTGGCACAGTTTGCTTAGTCGTCAGATTCAAATCTTTGATATGGACATGGATGCCATTGTTTCTGCTCTGCATGTGATGTATGCTGATGACTCTAGTGTGCTTCCGACTTATTACTCACTGTTGCCTAGTGTAGGTGTGCCTAGTGTACCCTCCCCTGCTGCGTTAGGCGTAGGATCCCCTGCTTTGTGTAGTCTTGGTGCTTCTGCCGCCGTTCCGTCGCCAGACCCTTCGGCTTCGCTTTCCTTCACCTTGGACTCTGGCGCCTCTCGGTGTTTCTTCCGCGACTCCACCACCCTGACGCCGCTTCCTGTTCCTGCTGCCGTTTCTCTTGCTGACCCCTCCGGCGGTCCGGTAGTCGCCCGCAGTTCTACCACCCTTCCCTGTCCGGCGGTTCCTTCGGGCTCTCTTACAGGTCTGCATATCCCCTCGTTCTCCAGGAACCTAGTTGGTGTCGGCTGCCTCCAGGACCTTGGCGTCACCACTACGTTCCCTGGTCATGAGCGGTATGCTGTCTGTACCGAGGCCGCCACTGGTGCCCCCCTGTCCACGTTCCCCCGGGACCCGGTGTCCGGCCTGTTCACTCTGGACACCGTGCCCCCCCCGGCTGGAGCGCCCCCTCAGGTGGCTGTGTCTACCCAGGTTGCTGCTGCCTGCTCCTGTCGCTCCCTCACTCACCCGACCCTCCTTTGGCACCACCGCCTAGGTCACCCTGCGCTCCCGCGTCTGCGTCACATGTCCCAGCACGGTCTTGTCCTTGGTCTCCCCGGTTCCCTCCCCGCGTTTCCCTCCTCCCCAGCTCCACCTTGCACGCCTTGTGTCGAGGGTCGGCTTCGCCGTGCCCCTCACTCCTCCTCGTTCCCCCCTACCGCCGCGCCGCTGCAGACCCTGCACCTGGACGTCTGGGGCCCCGCCCCCGTCCCTGGGCCGCGTCGAGAGCGCTACTTCCTTGTGCTTGTCGACGACTTCACTCGTTACACCACAGTCTTTCCCCTGGAGCGCAAGGCCGACGTGCTTGGCGCTCTCATCCCCTGGCTAGTCTCTGCGCGTGTCCACTGCGGTCTCCCTGTCTTGCGTCTCCACTCAGACCGTGGTGGCGAGTTTGCCTCAGGTGTCCTTGGTCGCTTTTGTCGTGCGGAGGGCATCACCCAGACGTTCACCCTACCGGACTCCCCACAGCAGAATGGGGTCACTGAGCGACGCATCGGTTTGGTCATGGAGGTGGCTCGCACCTTCATGATCCATGCCGGTGCACCCCATTTTCTGTGGCCGTTCGCTGTGCGCTACGCTTCTCACCAGCTTAACTTGTGGCTGCACCCTCAGCAGCCGCAGGTTTCGCCGACCCGTCTTTGGACTGGGTCTCCTGGTGACGCGTCTGCGTTCCACATCTGGGGCTGCCTTACTCACGTCCGTGCCTCCGGCACGGACAAGCTCACTGCCCGCACCCTTCCCTGCGTCTTCCTCGGTTTTCCCCTTGACGCGTCCGACTGGCACTTTTACCACCCGCCGTCTCACCGCTTCTTTCACTCTCGTGACGTCACCTTTGACGAGTCCGTCTCCTACTACCGCCGCTTCCCCCACCGTGGTCCCCCGGTTACCCCCCCTCTGTTCCTGGTCACTCCTTCCCCGGTAGTCCCTGCCCCTCCTCCTCCTCCTCCCCGTCCCGCCCCCTCTAGTGTCTCCCACGTCACCCCCCTTCCGTCCGTGGACCCGGTTGAGGAGTCTTCTGACTCTGGTGGCCCTCCGGTGCAGTCCTCGCCGGCCGCCCCTCCCCAGGTGTCCCCTCCCCAGTCCCCTCCTCCGCCGCCCCTGCCGCCGCTGCAGCCGTCGCCGTCGCCGCCGCCGCCGCCGCCGCCGCCGTCGCAGCCCCCGTTCGCTGCCTCTGGGGGTGCTCGTCCCGGTCGCCCTGAGGGTGGTCCCTCTAGGGGTGCGGGTGTGGAGAGTGCCGGTGGTAGCCGAGGAGCAGCTTGCGGTCCAGGTGTCGCCGTTGTGCCGCCGCAGCAGCAGTCCCCACCGGTGTCCGCCCTTCGCCTGCTCGGCCTTCCGTCCCCCGACCCTGCGTCGGTTCCTCCCCGACCGTCTCCTCCTCTTCCTGTCTACGGCCCTGTTTTCCCTCCGCCGGACTCGTCCCCGGCCCGTCTCCCCCCTCGTTCCCCTCCTGTGTCCCCTCCCCTGTCTCCTCACCCGACTCCTCCGTCCCACGTCTGGTCTCACCGTCCCTCCCGTGCTCGTCCTGCCTCGCCTGTCTTGCGCTCCCACCCTATGTTGCTTCGTTCACACGCGTCTCGTCCTCCCCTTCTGCCGTCGCCTCCTCCGTCCTCCCTTGTTGTTGCGCCCCCCCCGGTGTCCGACTACCTTCGTGCCGCTCGTCCTCTCGTTCCTCGGGTCCTTGCCTCCCTCGTTACCGACCCGTCTGTTCCGGTCTCGTGCCTTGACGCTCTTGTCGCTGCTGTCGCTGACTTCGCCTCTACCCGCTGCCTTGACTACGCCACCGCTCTGGTCTCCGACCCTGCCTGTCCTCCGTCTGTCGGGGGTGCTCCTGCCCTTGGCAGTGACGTCCTGGAGGACCGCCAATTCGAGCTTGCTTTCCTCTCCGAGGCTGCTCCCCATCTCTGTTCCATGCTACTAGTCCCTGAGGGTGACCCAGACGCTTTCGACATCCCGACCCCTCGCACTTACGCTGAGGCGACTTCGGGACCCTGGGCCTCGCAGTGGATAGCTGCCATGGAGCAGGAGATGGCATCTTGGAGATCCACCTGCACCTTCGTCGACGCAGTTCCCCCGCTTGGGGTGAACGTAGTCGATGGCCGCTGGCTCTTCAAGGTGAAGCGCCCTCCTGGAGAGCCGCCTGTCTTCAAGGCGCGCTATGTGGCTAGAGGCTTCAGTCAGCGCGAGGGGGTGGACTTCTTCCAGACCTTCGCTCCGACCCCGAAGATGACTACTCTTCGGGTTCTGTTACACCTAGGTGCTCAGCGTGACTACGAGCTTCACTCACTCGACTTCTCCACTGCCTTCCTTCAGGGCAGCCTACACGAGCAGGTCTACCTGCGCCACCCTCCGGGCTTTACTGGCACCTTCCCTCCTGGGACCCAGTGGCTCCTGCGGCGCCCCGTCTACGGCCTGCGCCAGGCTCCCCGTGAGTGGCACGACACTCTGCGTGCTACGCTTGCTGACCTGCAGTTCTTTCCGTCTTCTGCAGACCCTTCACTCTTCGTTCGTGCTGGCCAGACTCCGTTCTACATCCTCGTTTACGTCGACGACCTGGTCTTTGCCACAGCAGACAGGGACGCGCTGGCCTCCGTGAAGGCAGAGCTGCTGAAGAGACACACCTGCACTGACCTTGGAGAACTGCGCCGTTACCTTGGCTTGCAGATCTCCAGGGACAGAGCTGCGCGTACCATCACCCTGACTCAGTCACACTTGGTGCGCCAGGTCCTTCAGAGGTTCAGCCTTCAGTTCTCCTCTGCATAGCCCACCCCTCTGCCTGTAGACCACAGGCTCTCCGCTCCAGTGCCTGAGGAGTTGGTAGAGCCCAGTGGCCCCTACGCAGAGCTGGTGGGTTGCCTCATGTACCTGATGACTTGCACTCGCCCAGATCTTGCATACCCTCTCAGCATCCTGGCTCGCTTTGTGGCCACAGGCAGACACCGACCGCAGCACTGGTCTGCCGCTAAGAGGGTTCTGCGTTATCTTGCTAGTACATCAGGCATGGGGTTAGTGCTAGGAGGACGCAGGCCAGCGGTCCTTACTGGGCACACAGACGCTTCGTGGGCAGACGACGCTGAGACACTCCGGTCTACCCAGGGCTACTGCTTCAGCCTTGGCTCAGGTGCCGTCTCGTGGAGAGCTACTCGCTCCTCGTCTGTTGCACAGTCCAGCTGTGAGGCTGAGATCTACGCCGGTGCCATGGCGGCACAGGAGCTCCGCTGGCTGACCTTCTTGCTCACTGACTTAGGTGAGCGGCCTAGCTCTGCCCCGGTCCTGTTCGCTGACAACAGGGCCATGATCCTCCTGTGTCAGGAGCCTCGACTCGAGGGCAGAGCGAAGCACATTCAGCTGCGGTACTTCCTTCTGCGTGAGCTACAGCAGCGACGTCAGGCTCGCGTAGTACACTTGGCCTCAGGTGCCAACACGGCTGATATCTTTACGAAGGCGCTTGCGCCTAAAGATCATCAGCGGCACTGTGTACAGCTTGGTCTAGTTCCTGTAGCCTCTCACTTGCTAGGACCTTGACTTTGTACTGTCGTTTATATGTATACTCAGACTGGACTTGTGTCCTCTCCCAGTGGCTGGACTAGTAGTGCCGCCCTGCTCTTGTGCTTGCCTTGTCTGTACTCCTTCTGACTGGTCGCTCAGACCCTTGTCTCAGAGGTTGGACTAGTAGTGCCGCCCTGAGCTGTTTGTTTAGGACTCTCCCCTATGCAGTCTAGGGGGTGTGTCAAACATGTCTATGTGTTATGTTTGTATAGACTGTATAGGGTAGCCTCTTAGAGGGTACAACACTTAGCTATATTGTGTGTACTCTCTCTGTATCATCAACACTTCAAATTCTGATAGTGTGTACTCACTCTATCATTCACTTGTTCAATTCTGATATACTTCTCCAATTCTATGTTTCCAACACTTGGCATGTAGAGTGTGCTGCCTGTACAACACATCTGTACGTACATAGCATGGTGCAGAAGGGAGCACAAGCACCACTGTGAGTGCATGTCAAATGGACAGGACACTTCAAGCATGACAGCATAAATGCTTGCTCACCTGAACAGGCAGACACTCTCTACCTCTACAGATGAATGCATTCAATTCAACCCCCCAAATCAGTCTGAACAACATCGCACCCCATTTACATCAAGAGTGATAACCATCCTCCTGTCCTGATCCCGAGGCAACCTGTCACACCCGTTGGTATCAAGGTCATTGAGCATCTTGAGCTCTGCTAGATCCTCAGGCAGACATCCAAGCTGCTTGCAACCCTGCAGGTTGAGGCGCTTGAGTCTGGTGAGCCGAGAAAAGCTACGAGGAAGGGAGAGGATGGAGGTGTTGCTCAGGTTCAGCTCGTGAAGGCAGGAGAGCTGGGTGAGGGAAGCAGGAAGATGTGCGAGGGATGAGCACTTGGACAGATCTAGCTTGCGCAATCGGGATAAGGCGCCGATGCCATCTGGAAGGGACGATAACTTGGGTGCATGAATCCGAATGGATGTCAGGCGCTGGAGAGTCGTAATATTGGCTGGCAGCTCCCGCAATTCTCCACCCATATTGATTCCCAGCTGCCGCAGCTGCTGCACAGCTGAGGCGACAAATTCCGGAAGTTCCCTCATGCTTCCTGCACTTGAGATTGTCAGGGTGCGCAGATCAGACAGGCATGACAATGAGGATAGAAACTTTGTCGCATCATCCGCCAGCACCAGCTTCAGCTGCTTCAGGTGCTTCAAACCCGACAATATTTCACCATCTGCCAGCCCCCCCGGAAAGCGAACTCGAATCAACTTCAGTTTCGTGAGCCCTGACAGCACTGGGATGGCTGGCAGTGGCGTGATTAGATCAAAGCTCCCCAAGCGCAGATCTTCAAGGGAGAGAGGTAAGGTCTCCAGGTCTCTACCCGGCTCCAACTGCTTGAGCCCCTTAAGCTGATTTTTTAGGCCCCTCAAAAAGAGTGGTAAGGTCTCCAGGTCTCTACTTATCTTCAACTGCTTGAGCCTCGTAAGACCGCCAAAGTTTGCAGGTGCTGAAGAGAGGTCGCGACAACTCTGGATCCTCAGAGTTTCGAGCCTTGCAAGAGCCGTGATGTGCTCTGGAAGCTCCGCTATCCCGCACAGGTTGATTTCAATCCTTGTAAGGGATGAGAGCTGGGTGAACGAGGACGGGAGCCGCTTCTGACCATAGTAATTGTCTAGCACGAAGGTGTGGAGGTTCACCAGCAGTCCAATGTCTTCTGGAAGATCCAGCAGCGGCAAATGCTTGAGACACAAAGACTGGAGCACTGGGAGGTGACCAAACCCTAATGGTAGCTCCTGTATCTTCCAGCATCGGATTATAAACAGCGTCTCCAGAGATGCCAGCTGGCAGAAGGATTCCGGGAGATTCTCAAGAGGAAGCCCGTGCAGCACCAATGTCTTCAAAACGGGCAGATTCCCAAAGTTTTCTGGTAGAGAGGACACGCTGCACTCGGAGATGATCAAGCTCTGCAAAGAGGTTAGAGAGGTGAACTGCTCGGACAGGTGGACTAAACTTCTGCAGAAGCAGATGCTCAGCTTCTTAAGGCGTGGCAGCAGCTGGCCGATATGGTCCGGAAAACGGTGAAGCTCGTGACAATACGTGAGCTTCAGCCGTTCCAACAAGCTGCATGATGATTCAGACTGAAACATCCTGCTGAATTGAGGTGAAGAATCAAGCTGGTTGAGACGTAACCGCTGCAGACCAAAGCGCAGAGATCGAAGAGAAGGCAGCTGCGAGAAGGCGGCGAAAGGCGGGTCTTCCGACTCCAGGATAATGTGATGAGACAAGGAGAGGCTGGTGAGGGTCGTGAGGAGAACGAGGGTCGAAAGCTGGTGACAAGTCCAGCCTCCTGAGTCAATGGAGAGACTGGTGAGACAAGTAAGGCCGGTAAGAAACGGAGCCATACGGCCTGTCGGGTGGTCCAGAAGCAGAGTCCGGAGATGCGGCAGCTGAAACAGAGACACGGGGAGAGCAGGACCTTTCCCGAGACAGTACAGCGACAGATGTTCCAGGTGAGGGCAGCGGCGGAAGAAACGATCCAAGCCACACTCGGTCAGCAGGTGCTCGCCGTTCCTACTGTCATCATCACAGTCTGCATCCACTCTGTTGTGCTCTCCCACATGAAGCGCCGTGAGCTTCGGGCACGATGAAGCGAGGTGAGCGAGGAAGACGTCGTCGAGAGCCTCCACGCTGTGATCGCAAAGATGCAGATGGGTGAGATTCGGGAAGCAGCTGACGGCGTTCGCGAGGTCTTGGCGCGAAACGACGCAATCCTTCTTCACCAGGAGCGTGGCCACGTGACGCTTGGCGAGATCGCGCCAGCGACTACAGATGGATGCGATGAGCAGATGGTGAGCGGCGTCTGCAGCAGGAGAGAGCGGCAACGGAATGACGCTGGTCTGAGCGACGGAAAGCACCTCCTGCGCGTCGTCAACGCCGTACAAGTACTTTGGCGTGGGCCACAAAGGGATCCAAGACGGATCGGCCTCCGAGCTGGAAGAAGAAGGCCGCGAGGAAGGCCAGAAGATCTTAACGAGGATGTCGTCAAGAAGATCAGTGATGCCCGTGGGAGTCGTCATTTCAGCGGTTTTGAAGAAGGGAAACTCGGCGGAAGTGAAATGCGAGGGACCCTATGCTTTTTAACCGGACTGATGCCGACCCTGTCAAGGGAAGCGACTGAAATGGCTGGGTCTGTTTCCCCTAGCGTCGCGCTCACCCTACAGACAGCTCCACCAAGGTTGATTATCTTGCTTCAATACAGCGATGCTGCTGGGAAGGGAATTGTGCTCACAGCTCCAGGCGTTGCTGCTGCTGACAGTCTAGCTCTCTGCCTCACTAGCTAAAGAGCAGGCTGGCATTCTCTCTGCTCAACCTGTTGCTGTCTAGCTATCTTCTCGATCACCAGAGCTCGCTACCATTCCAGCAGGCTGACATTTTGGTTTTGCGTTCAGTTCAGTCCTCCAGCAGGTCCCCTCCCCCACCAACCGGGCGCGAACCCTCTCACGGTGGCGTGCGGAGTGTCCAGCCTGCATGTCTGGTTCCCAGTTCAAAATCAACTGCGGGGTCAGTTCCATACTCTCGTCGCAAACGTCGAAACTATGTGACCACCAAATATTCTCAACTAAGTCTAAGGAATTTCCATTCCTTACTAAGTCGTACGCTAGCGCGCACACCTGAACTCGTCGACTCGTCACGTTCGGCCACATTTGTCGGCCCAAACCTTTCCCGAGTCGCGTCCGGCACTGTCGCCACATTGCCGAACCTACCCACGTTCCGAGGTTATCGCCCTAGCACGCCAACCCCCATATAACCTCGTGCCTTCATTGCAATAGCGACCTTGTGTTCTCACGTTATATTCCATTGACACTTCCTATATCATAACAGCTGGTATCAGAGCCCGAGCTTCCTAGAAACCTTCCGTTTTCCCATTTACTTAGTTAAAGATGGTCTGAGGGGATTAGCATGGCTGCACAGCAGTTGTCTTGGATCGTAAATATTTTTACGTCAACAACTACAGCGTGTGCGCTAGCTTCTGCCCCGTCCTGACTGCCATGGCCCCGGTAGACTCGACGGTTGAGGGATAGTCCACCTCGACTGCTGCGAACCCTGCCCAAGAAACTATGGACCTGCAAGCATTAATGGAGCAGCTGAAGAAATTGATAAGCTTCGTCAACGACCTTCGCGACGAGAACCAGCGACTTCGCCAGGCGCAGGAGAGGCGTCCAGAGGAGCCGGGCGACGATGCACGAAGCGAGGCGGGTGAGCAGCAACCGTCGCCAGTGGAGCTGGCACGACTAGCGGCAACAGCCCTGCGCTCGACAAGTGGCGGCGTAAGATATCAGCAACCCGCTCCTTTCGACCCAGCTAATAAAGGCGTGACGGTGCAGCAGTGGATATTCGCCATGAATATCTATTTTAACGTGGCGGGCATCAGAGACGATCAGAAGCGGATCAGCCACGCGTTAACACTGTTGCAAGGGGCCACCCTACAGTGGCGGAAGGTCATCGTCGACTCAGCGGCAACTCGCACAGAAGGACAGCATGAGTGGTCCGAAGAATTCGCCGACGAAGACGAGGCAGATCTGTTGTTCAGAGCGACCCACATTCGCACATGGGCAACGTGGTGCGCAGAGCTTCGCAAGCGGTTTGAGCATGCTCCTGACTCAAACAAAGCACGCGAAACTCTACGCATGTGGAAGCAGATGAGATCTGTGTCCGCGTACACCACGTTATTCTTGACATTGGTGGACAGATGTGGCTACATGCACGAGTTGGAGAAGGTCGGCAGGTACATGGGCGACTTGAAACCTGAAATACAGTACCAGATAAACTGCAACGCCCTGCGAAGCGGTTACAAGACTTCATCCAACTTGCCGAAGACGCCGATTCGCTCACGAAGCCGAGGACGAACTTCTACGGCGGAGGTCGCCCTCAAGAACAGTACCAGCGCGCCACGATAAAAGGGGTGGACGCAGTGGATATTTATGCAGTTGCTCCGCGAAATACGGGCTATGCTACCACTGTGGCCGGCCGGATCACATCCGACGCAACTGCCAAGAATTCATAGCCCTCCAGAATTCTATGGGGAAGAAGCCGGAGGAGCGACAGGGAAATGGGTCGCGTCAGTAAATACCGGGCCCCTTACTGACGGGCAGGCTTCTTCGCCCGAGCCACACAGTCCCCACCGGGTCATGATCCCGATTGCTGTAATCGACCGGACTCGGACGAATAAAGGGGACGAAACTGCTGATCACCCTGTGTTGGTGGAGGGTAAAGTCAACGGGGTGTTGCTGAAAATATTCGTGGATGGAGGCGCGAGTCACAGTCTCATACAGCTGGATAGGGCTAAAAAATTGGGTATTCCCTTACTTAAGTGTCTACCCAAAATTGACACCCTGTATTGGTGGAGGGTATAGTCAACGGAGTGTTATTGAAGATTTTCGTTGATGAAGGCGCGAGTCACATTCTCATACAACTGGAAAGGGCTAAGAAATCGGATATACCCTTACTCAAGTGTCTACCCGAAATCGACGCCCGATAGGTGAACAGAACAATGCTGGCAATACGAGAATGGGTGGAGAACGTTGGTTTTACTTGTGGGGAGCATGTAAAATTTCGGATGGGACTGCTGGCGACTACTCTCGACGGGTGCGACGTGCTGCTGGGACGCGATTGGTTGCGACGGTACAACCCAAAGATTGACTGGACGATGGGGGGCTGCAACATCAAGCTCGAGGGGATTTCCCGCAAGCTACCCAAGTGGACGGGGCCTCGCATGCGAAGCACCCAAGTCCACGCGATCACTTTCAAACGCGCGATGAAAGCTGGAGCTGCAGCGTATGCCGTTGATCTTCACGAGGTGACATCGACGGTGGAGACCAAAGACATCGAGAAGATGTGCAAGGCCGTCCCTCCGGACTTATTGGACCCAATTCGGAAATATCCAGAGATATTCCCAGACGACCTGCCAGCTGGACTCCCGCCGAGCCGACCTGAGGACCATCGCATCGAGCTGGAACTAGGCGCCCAACCGACGGTACAGCGACAATTTCGGCTCAGCCAACCAGAACTGGAGGAATTACAGCAGCAGTTGGATTACCTACTTACGAAGGGATTTATCCGGCCCAGCACGTCACCATACGCCGTCCCGATACTGTTCACGCCGAAGAAGGATGGAGGATTCATAATGTGTATCAACTACCGCGCGCTCAACCGGATCACCATCAAATCGCGCTACCCGATCCCGCGAGCCGACGAACTTCTCGCCCATCTTCGCAGCGCCAAGTTCTTCTCGAAAATCGACTTACGAGGAGGTTATCATCAGATTCGCGTCGCCGCTGAAGATTGTCACAAAACGGCATTCCGAACTCGCTACGGCAGCTACGAGTACCTGGTGATGCCTTTTGGCCTCACGAACGCACCCTCGACCTTCCAGATGACCATGAATGGAATTTTCAATGAACTCTTGGACAAATGCGTCATCATCTACCTCGATGATATACACATCTACAGCCGCAACAGGGAGCAACACTTACAGGATCTTGATGCAGTCTTCACGCTGCTGCACAAGAATCGCCTCATCAAGAAAGGGTCTAAGTGCGACTTTCTTAAGTAGGAGTTGGAATTTCTGGGTCACATCATCACGTGTTCAAGACCTGGCGGTGCTACCTGACAGGTGCTGACGTCACTGTGCGAACCGACCACAATACCCTCCAGTACCTGCGCGCCCAACCAAACCTCAACCCACGACAGATCTGATGGCTCGATTTCCTCGAGTCAAATTTCCACTACACCATCAACTACAAACGGGGCACCAACAACATTGCCGATGCCCTGACCCAACCCACTGCCCATACAGCCGCCATACTAGTCGCCCAGACCAGCCCACTGCTTACCGGACTATTTACCCACAGCTACAAAATCGACCCCTTCTTCCGCTCCGCTAATTCATCAACAGCCTACCACAGCTACCTGACTATTTTAATAAGCGCAACACTTCCCGCATCTGGATTCCAGGCTACGATTTACTTCGTACCCTCCTGATCCAGGAATTTCACGACAACCCTACCTCCGGGCATTTCAGAGTCGACAAAACCATGAAGACGTTGCAGCGTAATTATTACTGGCCGAATATGGCCGACGACGTGCGCAAGTACGTGTCCTTCTGCACCGTCTGCCAGATCATGAAATCATCCCATCAGCGAGCAGCCGGACTCCTACAGCTGTTGGATCCGCCCGAGAGACCCTGGCAACACGTTACAATGGACTACGTGACAGGACGTAGTCGACCGGTCCCAGTGGAAACGACGCCATCCTCGTGGTCGTCGACCGACTCATGAAAATGGCGCACTTCATCGCTTGCCAACATAAAATTACAGCTGAGCAAACTGCCCAACTGTTCATCGCCAACGTTACCGGACTGCACGGACTGCCCACCACCATTATTTCACGCCGAGACCCGAAATTCACATCGAGTTTCTGGCGCCACTTGTGGGACCAATTCGGCACCAAACTACAGTTTTCCTCCGCCTACCACCCACAGACCAACGGGCAGACTGAACGAGTGAACCAAACTATGGAGCAACTCATTCGGACTACCTGTACTTACCCATTGGCATGGGAGAAATCCCTACCACTGCTGGAGTTCGCGTATAATAACGCGCCTTCCGCCACAACCCATCAATCCCCATTTTTCCTCAATTATGGACAGGACCCCGTGGTACCCTCTACACCAAATATCGAGACACCCGTGCCTCGGTCCCAGCGATTTGCCAAAGACATCCTCGCAGCCCGAGAAAAAGCAGCCGAGGCAATCCGAAAAGCCAACCTGGTCGCAAGCCGACAAGCCGATCATCATCGACGTGACGTCACTTACAAAGTGGGAGATCTCGTACTACAGGACACTCGTAATTTGCGTATGCCGATCCCGAGCAAAATCCGACCAAGATTCTGTGGTCCTTTTCAAGTGACCAATATAGTGACACCTGTCACCGCTCACCTCTGACCAGGCCTCAGGATATCAGGGTAAAATACCCTTACGGCCCTTATAATAAGGGTGGGGTAGGAGTTGGACCCTTATTTTTATAAGTGGTTTAGTTTTTGACCCTTATGAATAAAACTAGATCTATACGGGACCCTGTTTTTCTAGAGTGGTCGAGTGTATTGACCCTGATGCGGAAAAGTGTTGTGTAAAATCACCCTTACACAATCACATATGCGATCCCCCGCTATAATAATTTCTCCCCTTAGCAACCTATAGATTTCGGCTAAGACCCCCCAATCCGAGAGTCATTCCTTCTATACCCCCCGCAACCCAAGATTTCAGCTACAGCGACGGAAAGTATTGCCCGGATAATTGCCTTAAAACATTTCTCGTACTGGTTTGGTGCCTTCTTTGTTTAGTTACGAATCAAATTT